TCAGCTTTAGAAACACATGTATTTGAAAATGTGCCCCACACGGGGTGAGATCTCTAACAGAAATCTCAGTAAGACAAAGGGTCCTCAAGGACTCTTCCACCCCAAGCTCACTTACAAGTATATAATAAGTTCAAAATAATGAATAATATGCATGTTCATGTTAAAGCAATATAATCGAGACAATATATCTAAATTCTTAGAAAGCCATGTACCACAATTTATATCTCATGTGATGTATGCAAGTGCAGTTCAACTGGCCAGAGAACAAGATAGGTATTACGCACGTCTGCAACCTACCAAAACATGAGGGTCACTGCCTCATGCCTTACACACCAGGGTCGCTGCCTGATTGTGTAAGTACCCAACATCACATCCATACATTACATCAACGAGCATATCCACATATCTCAAGTATATAACAATGCATATATCATTTTCATAAAAGCATACCATGCACATAAACCATCCTCCAATGGAGGTTGGTGGAACAAACAGAGGATAAATACGAGGACCAAAAGCTTACCTGTCAAGCTAAACCCTCCCTCAACGACTTGGTGTCCAAATGGTCATAAGTAATTGTTGCGACTTTAGCAAGTGTACTAGCCGTACAAGTAATAAAATGATAAGTAAAGATCGTTCCCACGAGGATTTGTGTTCAAACACCAACCAACCATTTATAATTAAGTTGAATCAAACAAGAATTCATTGAATGCATTGATAATTGTCACCAGAAATTGAATTGTATTTGGGCTTGATGAAATAACTAAAATGTGAATTATAATTTTACAACAAGTAGTAAGAAATCAATGTCCCTCAACCATAAACTTATGTAAGAATCAATCCCATTATGAATTATCTTCCATGTGATGTCAATCAACTTTTTTATTATCACCAAGATGTAATCCCTTACTACCTTGGTTGATACATTAATCAAGAACCCCAATCCCTTGGTAATTCCCTTCTTAATACATACATTAAGCACTTACAGAAATAATGTAAACATTCCTGTTCTACACTACTCCCTTAATGGAAAGAATTGACAAAGACAATTTCATATCGTCACATAAAAGATAATCATAATATTCAATCAACCATACATAAATTCATCTTTGAGTTCCATTGAAATCTGACTACAAAGGACTCTACTCAGACATAGGAAAAGAAATAACAAGAGAAGAGGAAAGATCAAACTCCATTGTCATGATGTTGAATCTTCAATCTTCAATCACAATTACATAAAGTACACTAAACTAATACAAGACTAGGACCTAAGGAATTTGGAAATTCAGAGAATAAAAAGTCAGATCAGATGATATCTCCAAGTGTGAAGGCCCTTTTCCCTTTTATAGTTTACAAATTCCAAAACTGAATAACATCCAAAAACTGACATGGGCACTAAAACGTTCCTTGTTGGACGTTTTAGCGTTCAACTTTGACGGATGCCCAATTGTTTTCAACTGTCCTTGACTTGACCGTTTTAGCGTTCAAGACCCGAATCTTTTTAACAGCAGAGCGCTAAAACTTTTTCTTTGGCCGTTTTAGCGCTCGACACCAGCACTTTTTGGCTTCATTTTGCAGCAGCGCGCTAAAACGTTTGCTTTGGACGTTTTAGCGCTCAACACTTGAATTCTCCAATTTCTTCAGAATCTTCTCCTTTCTCTCTTTTTCTTCTTGAGCTTCATTTTCCTACAAGAACAATGTAAATTTTCAACACAACTTTCAGAACTTGTATTTAGGACTTTCCAGGACATTAACCCTCTTTTCCATCCATTTAATCACACAAATAAGCTAATTCATGCTTTAAAACCTTATAAACCAAGGGTTTATCAGTAATACCAGTGTCTAGCAAGGTCACAGATCTGTTTTCATAACATTCATACTATCAATAAACATATCCTAGCTTTTCAGGTTAAAAGGAACACTATTTCTTTTTCGTTTCACTTACAACAGGCTCTTTCCAAAGCTTCAAGCACTGAACTGTCTTTACCCTTTTTAAAACTACAATTGCATCTCTTTACCAAAAGTTATAAGATTTCACTATGTTAAACTAGACATCCTAAGCTTTCCAATGACATATTTTATATCTCAATCGAAGTTGTATAACTCTGGTTATGTTTTTTGCAAAGTGACTGCTGCAAACTGAATTTTCACATCAAGGAAGCATCTTCAAATTCAAACCGCGATCAATCCACTTATCCAATGGATTTGAAAATTTACAAGGTTGTAGCCCTATGTGATAGCTTCATATAGGTCCAAACCACACTCAATTAAGAGCTCTGTAGCTCGAGATATCATGATTTTACCAAACTAGAGCGTTGTTGTCACAATTAAACTAGGTAATTGATTACCATACAGGGGATAATCGATTACCATGAAGGGTAATCGATTACCACCTGTGCAAAAACGCAAAAGTGCAGATTTTTCTGCATAATTTGAGCTCCAATGGCCTCCCAAGGTTCTCACCTTCGATTTATCCACAAACAGAAGTTTAAACTACCATATTACACTTAAATTAAAAATCTTTTACTTGAATCATCAAATCTTCCCTTTTTTAAAGACTCAAAACAAACTTTGTTCATTAATTTACAAAGGAAATGGTGATAGGTTACCTTATGGATTGTGAAAACAGAAAAATGAGGGAACTTTGAAGACTTTGAAGATGCTCAAAGCCACTGCCCAAATGGTGCACGAAAATCACAAGGAAATGTTGGTTCTTTCTCTTTAAGTTTGGTTCCTTGAAGCTCCCAAGTGTGGAAAATGGCTCTCAACCAAGAAGAAAGATGGTGGCTCTCTGCCCAATGCCAAAATAGAAGCAAAACCTCCCCCAAGGAACTGTTTTCTCTAACAAAACTTAAACTTCAAAGGGTTGGGGATGTTTGCATGGTGTGAGAATGGAAAAAGATGAAAGCTTGATGAGGTTTAATGAGAAAATGGCAAGCTTTCATGGATGCACTAAGGAGAGACACTCATCAGCCATGCACACTGAAGGGAGACAACTAACATGGGTTAGAATCACTCTAGGGTTTTGTGCTATTAATTATATGTACACACTTAAACTAACAGTATTAGTTTAATTAATTCCGTTCTTCTTTTAACTCTAAACTTTTAGATCCTTAACCTAGACATTTTTCTAGAAATTATCATATTTTTACACTAATTTTTTGAGACACTTCACCGGTACGCGTTTTATACATCAAAACAGTCAGTATTAGTTCTGACATCACTGCTTATTATTTTTATCCCAAACTTGATATTCTTAACCTAGATATTTTTCTAGGAATATTCATATTTTTATTTGTATTTTTTGAGTTACTTCGCCGATATCCATTTACATCGTGAAATACCCTGTGTTTGCACTTTTCTTCTGAAAAGCAACTGAACATAATTATTCTAATCTTTCTATATTTATCCAAAGTCAATTATGGAGTTTATCTATTAAAATTGTATTTAACTTATTATATTCCTAATTTAGCGGTGCGAGTTCTTACAGTTTACCAATTCCCAAGTGTGGTTCGACAGGATAGATTCAATTTCACTATTGATAGCCTCTTCCCAGAATGGTGCTTCCGGGGACAATACAACTTCTTTATACGTTCAAGGCTCATTTTTTAACAGATACGTCAAAAAATCAGGTCCAAAGGATGTGGCAGTCATTTGCCTCTTACTACATCTAGATTCATCCTCTACAGGATGAATACTAGTCGTATCATCTTGAGGTCTCACAACGTTATTATCATTATTACCACTTGATTCATATACCTTGTTATACAGATTTACGTCTTCAAAGAACGTAACTTCCCTTGACTCAATAACCGTATTAACACGTATATCTGAGACATCAGATTTATAAATCAGAAACCGATAGGCACTACTATTAAGTGCATAACCAATGAATACACAATCAACAGTTTTAGGTTCGATTTTCAACCTTTTAGGTTTAAAAACCACAACTTTAGCTAAGCACTCCCACACTCTCAAGTATTTCAAGGATTGGTTCTTTCCTTTCTATACTACGTATGATATGCTCTTTGTCTTCTTGTGGAGCACTCTATTAATTATATAGTTAGCCGTCAAAAGGACTTCCTCCACAAGTTTTGTGGTAAACCGGGCGTGATTAACATAGCGTTCATCATTTCTTTCAATGCCCGATTTTTCCTTTCTGCAATCCCATTTGATTGCGGTGAATATGGAGCGGTTGTCTGGTGTATAATACCAGACTCTGTACAGAATTCCTCGAAGGGGCTATTATATTCTCCCCCACGATCGTTTCTTACTATTTTAATTTTCTTGTTAAGTTGATTTTCAACTTCACTTTTATATTGTCTAAAAGCTACAATAGCCTCATCTTTACTATTAAGTAAATAAACATAACAATATCTAGTGCAATCATCAATAAAAGTAATAAAATATTTCTTATTATCCCTAGATGGTACATATTTCATATCATATATATCAGTGTGTATTAAATCTAATAACTCGGTTGATCTTTCAATAGAAGTAAAATGTAATTTCGAAAATTTTGATTCAACACACACTTGACATTTATTATTTATACATTCAAATTTTGGTAATAAATCTAAATAAATTAAAATTTTAATTGATTTAAAATTAACGTGTCATAATCAATTATGCCATAAATTAGAAGACTCAAGAAAATAAACAGAAGTTACACTATTATTAATATTATTGTTATTAGTTACAGTTATCACATTCAGTTTGAAAAGGCCCTCACTAAGGTAACATTTTCCTACATGCACATCATTCTTAGAAAGTACAAACTTGCCAGAAACAAATACAAGTTTAAAACCATTCTTGCTTAACAGGGATCCAGAAACTAAGTTCTTGCGAATATCAGACACATGGAGCACATCATTGAGTGTCACTATCTTGCCAGAAGTCATCTTCAAAGCCACCTTCTGAACACCTTCAACCTTTAAAGTAGATGAATTACCCATATAGAGTTTCTCTTCTTTCGTTGTAGGAGTGTAAGAGGGAAACATTCAATTGTTTGAACAGACATGTCTGGTGGCACCAGTGTCCACCCACCATTCTTTAGTGTCTCCCACAAGGTTACACTCCACCACCACTGCTGCCAAATTTAGATCTTCAACTTTATCAGCAATATCAACCATTTTGGCTTGAGTGGTCTTCTTCTTTTTGGATTTTTGTGGCTTCTTTTGATCTTTCTTATAGTCCCTTGCACGGTGGCCAAGATTACAACAATTGTAACAATTGCCCTTGAACTTTTTGCCTTTGTCTTTTCTTTGTTTAGCAGTTTCTTCTTCAGAATATTTTCGCTTCTTTGACCTTGATCCCTCTTCAACAACATTAGCCTTAGAGACCATTAGGTTGTTGCCAAATTTCCTTTCAACAACCTTGTTGTCTACTTCTATCCCCAGCCTCATTATTAGATCTTCAAGTGTCATCTCCTTACGCTTATGCTTGAGAGAACTCTTAAAATCCTTCCAAGATGGTAGCAATTTTTCAATAACGCACCAACCTGGAATGATTCACTAAGAGTCATCCATTTTGAAGTCCAGAAATCTACCGACTATGAATTTCTTCAAGCCAGCATCCTTAGTTCTGTACTTATTGTCTAGACTGTCCAATAGTTCCTTACTTGTTTTCAAGGCATTACACGCATTATACAACGTGTTGTCTAGACCATTAAGTATATAGTTTCGGTAGAGGAAATCAGAGTGCTTCCATGCTTCAATCGCAGCAACCTTCACCTTATCAAGTTGTTCTCCCTTTTCCAACTTAGGTGCATCTTCCTTGAGAAAATGTGCCAGACTCAAGGTTGTCATGTAAAATAGCATTTTCTGTTGCCAGCGCTTGAAATCAAACCCATTGAATTTTTCGGGCTTCTCAGCAGGGGTCGAAATAGAGGTATTTGGGGTAGCCAAACTTGTACTTGCCATTTCTGTTACATAAACAAAAACTCCAATCAATCATAGAGATCAATCTTTTAATGCACAGTAAACAATATATAATGCAAAAAAGTAAAATATACTGAACACTGATTCAAAACACAAATTGTCTTAAGATTGTTGTTGAAAGGCAATGGGTGAAAATTACCTATAGATTTGAATCTATGTATGCTACCAGATATGTTAATTATTGGTAAAAGCAGAGTTCAATAATTAAAGAACGAACTAACTTGAGATTAGAAGTAGATGTTAGTATGTAGAAAATGATGAATAATCCAAGCCCAACAATGTTGTCTCCTTAAGACAATTTTCTGAAGGGGTCGGTGTCTATATATAGACACTGAGCGGACACGATGAACCGCCGCCGGTGAACCACTTTCGGGCAGGAAGCAACATTTTAGTTTTAATTTGGAGGGAAGCAACGATTGGAAAAAAATAATTTAATAAACAATTATTTTATTTCTCTCACACACAACAGGGCCAGGCCGGACGGCGACGACGGCGCATGTATGGTGAACCAATGCCACCTAACTCCTCTTTCCTCCATAAAATGTGTAGTGCCCCATGGGGCAATCTAGGAGTATAAGGTGAGAGCTTATATACCTTTTCACCTCTTACTAATTGTCCAATAATGTGGAACTTCTTAGTTTATAACCCACATACCCTTTCATCTCCCTCTTTCTTTCCTTCTTTAACCCACTTCTTATTCATAACCTGTTAGGGATGAACCCTAAAGACAAGAAAGGAATAGAAAGAGAAAGAACAATTGAGGAAAAATCTTATTCAATGCATCTCTTCTTTACAATATCAGTTTTTATATCCAGTTATTCAGAGACCACTACTGCACTTAACTCTACAAGTGGCTCTGAATAACTAATTACAATCGTTTCTAACAACCTCTTACCTAACTTAAAAGTTAGGCTACATAATCCCTGAGCTTAGTTGAGTGAACCCTCAAACGTGTGGAGCTCCTCTTTGTAACAATTTCCTCTCCATCACAAACAACCTTGTCCTCAAGGTTTAAGGATGGATAACATCTTCAAAGGTCCTCTTCATTCTCCCAAGTTGAGTCTTCGGGTACTGCATGAGTCCACTGCACCAAAAATTGGTGCTGAGGATGGCCACTGATCTGAGCTACTCGTTTAGCCACTGCTGCCAAAGGTTCCTGTACTGGTTTATTATCTATGGCCAGTAAAGGAAGTGGTTCTGTTAATGTTATTGAGTCCTCTGACTTTACAAAGGGTTTCAACAAGGAAACATGAAAAGTAGGATGAATTTTGCTCCCAGGTGGTAAACTTAGACGATAAGTCACATCACTAAGCTTCTGCTCAATTGGAAAGGGTCCAAAAAAAATGAGCTGCCAACTTGTGATTTTCCCTGCGAATAACTGAAACCTTCTTGTAAGGTTGCAACTTAACCCATACCAAATCTCCCACGTTAAACGTGTGTTCCCTCCTCTGTTTATCTGATTGTATCTTCATGCTATTTCTAGCTCTTTCTAAGTGAGCCTTTAGCCTTGACAACACTTCATTACGTTGAGCTAATGTGGAATCAACAGCTTCCACCTTTAGCAACCCCCTCGGGTAATGAGCATTGAAGAGTTATAATGGAGCTGAGTCCAATATATGAACCGGGACCACTGAAATGGTTGGTCATGACAAAAAGATCTCAAATATTGCTCCAAATACCTATTGGTTACCTTTGTCAGTCCATCAGATTGTGGATGATAGGAGGAAGTAGTCTGCAACTTAGTACCACTCAACTTAAACAAATGAGTCCAAAATTGACTCACAAAAATTGGATCCCGATCAGTTAATAAAGAACATGGAAATCCATAGTTCTTTACAACTAATTCACAGAAAAGTTGAGCTACCACTGCTGTTGTATATGAACGATGAAGTTTTCCAACGTAAGCAAATTTTGAAAGTCTAACAATGACAACAAGTGTGGTGCAACATCCATTAGAAGGTGGTAATCCCACGATAAAATCCATTGATAGATCTTCGGATATACATTCTAGAATGGGCCGAGGTTGTAATAACCCTATTGGTTTATTGGTTTCATACTTCACTTATTGACAAGTTGAACATTCCTTAACGAATTGCTTTACATCTTCCCTCATGGAAGTCCAAAAAAAAGTTGTTGATAAACGCAAGAAGGTACGTAAGATTCCAGCATGGCCTCCAACTGGGGATGCATGAGCTTTTCGAATTAAACTAGGAATCAATAAAAGAAACTGGTTCTTATGAAATAAAACGCCCTCCCTTACTGATAAAAAACTAACTGCACTTGGATCATCCTTAACCTGTTGATGACAGTTCAGCAGATAAGGATCCTCTAAATTCAGTATCTTAATCTCTTCTAGGACTTCAAATACAGACTCGGAGAACAAGGTATTCACCTATGCTTCTTCATGAACTCTAGATAGAGCATCTGCAACCACATTAGAGCTCCCTACCTTATATTCAATGTGAAATGTATACCCCATCAATTTACATAAATAGTTTTGCTATTCTTTCGTTTGGATGGTTTGGGTAAGCAATTCCTTAATGCTCCTATGGTCTGTTCTGATGATGAAAAAAGAACCTAGGAGATATTGGCGCCATCGTTTGACTGCTGTTGTGATGGTATAGAGTTCCCTTACTTAAGTGGATGCATTTGCCATCCTACTCCCAAGCTTCTTACTGGAAAAAGCCAAAGACATCTCCTGTTGTAAAAGGACAACCCCTATTCCACTGTTGGATGATTCTGTTTCGACAACAAAGGGTAACTTAAAGTCAGGTAATACCAACACAGGGCGTTAGCCATTGCCTCCTTCAATCGAATGAAAGCGTGAGCTGCTGCCTCAGACCATTGGAACTCCTTGCTAGCTTTCAAAAGGTCAGTTAATGGGGCAGCCAATGAAGCATAACCTTGAACGAACCTTCGGTAATAGCCTGTTAACCCCAAAAATTCCCTAAGTTGTTTCAAGGATTTGGGTTCAGGCCAAGTCATCATTGCAGCTATTTTCTTTGGATCAGCCTGGACTCCTTGCTTCGAAACAATATGACCCAAGTAATTAATAGATGATGCACCAAATTTGCATTTAGAAAGCTTAACAAAAAACTTGTGCTTCTGCAGATTCATTAGAGTTATGCGCAAATGCTCCATGTGTTCTGTTATTGACCTACTAAATACCAAGATATTGTCAAAAAATACAATAATAAACTTCCTCAAATATGGTTTAAAAAGATGATTCATTGTAGCCTGAAATGTTGTAGGGGCGTTTGTTAAACCAAGGGGCATTACAAGGAATTCGTAGTGCCCTTCATGCGTCCTAAACATTGTCTTCTCCACATCTGTAGGAAGAACTCGTATCTGATGATAGCCAGCCCTCAAGTCAAGTTTAGGGAACACCGAAGCCTTGCCCAACCCATCTAGCAATTCGTCGATAGTAGGAACAGGAAACCTATCACGAATTGTGATAGCATTTAAGGCCCTATAGTCGATGCCCATCCTCCACGACCCATCTTGCTTCTTAACAAATAGGACCGGAGATGAAAATGGGCTCTGGGAATGTTGTATGAACCCATTTGCAAGCAATTCAAAAATTTGTTACTAAATCTCTATTTTTTGGAAATAAGCATATCTGTATGGTTTTACGTTTACCAGTTGAGCCTTGTCAATGAGATGAATTGCATAATCTAAGCCATGAAATGGAGGTAGCTCATTAGGTACTTGAAAAACAGATTGGAACTGAAATAATACTTGCCACAATTCCTCTGCTATTTGGTTACGAAGGGCAGCTAAATCAGGATTGACCACATCAAATGAGTCACTCCCTTGTGACATTGCATAACATATAGCCTTATCAATCACTTCCAGACCTTCTGTTTTTGCTTGAGATTCGTCTCCTTTTATCCCAATTAATAACACTTCTCTATCATGCACACAAACTCCATAGAACCCTTGGAATAATCATGTGTAACTCTTCCTAATTTCTCCAGCCAAGGCATACCCAAGATAACCTGTAACTCACTCAACTCTAGCACCCACAGGTCAACAGAAAATAGATTTCCTTGTAACTCAATAGGCACATTGAAACATTTCCGATCAGTTATTAAAAACTCCCCATTCCCCAAAAATACACGCATCCTCTTAACCTGAGTCATTGGAAGGTTTAGTTCAAAGGCTAAATTTTTTTGAATAAAATTCTGAGTACTTCCAGAATCAATCAGTACACTTACCTCCTTATTCGAGAATACTGTAGTAAACATGAGGGAACAACCACGTAAATGATCTCCCATAGCATGCAATGCTGCATCTTTGATCTCCGTGGTATCATTTTCTGTTCTCTAGACAATCTCCTCCTCCTCTCCATCAGTGTCTGACTCATTGATATCCCCAATCAACAATAGCAGTCTATTTTTACATCTGTGTTTACCATTCCATTTTTCATTGCAATAGTAACACAACCCTTGTTCACGCTTCTACTGCAACTCAGCGTGAGATAGACGTTTCACGGAGTTGGGTGCTGGTAGTGCTAAAGGTTGATTTTCCTTTGGAAGTTGCAACACAGGGTTATTGTTAGCTGGTGGTTGTGACGACTCAACATGTGTGAAAGATTTTGAAAATCCTTTCCTCTGATTCACAGAAAATGAAGCTTTCAACTCAGAATGATGGTCATCGTAAGCAAGTGCGATTTGCATTGCCAAATGAAGTGCGGAAGGAGTACGGAGCTGAACCGCACTTCTAAGTTCTAGTATTAATCTAGAAACAAAGAAACTCATGTAGAGTTCATCATCCACTCCGGGAACATGGTTGATGAGAGCCTCAAAATCACGAATATAATCACGTAAAGTGCCTGTATGAGAGAGTTTCAGAGGATACCCATGAGGTTCATAAAAGCAGATACACCAAACCTCTAACACAAGGATATAACCAGATCTCTCCACGAACGAATCGTACCACTGCGACATATCCAGTGGTACCAAGCTCTAGCAATTCCATCCATACACAAACCCGCCAAAGAACCTTAAATTCCTCTAGTATTTGTTGTAGATGAAAGAACAACTCTGTTTTAAAAATCCAAGTGTTAGGCTCAGTGCCATTAAACATCGGAATTTCTAAACGAATTGATTTCGAAAGATTGAGCTCCGGACGCACTCCAACAGGATGAATCATCTCAGAAGGTTGAGGAAGAAGCGAAGAACGTTGCACTGGTTCACGCGTTCTTGTATTCATTCTTGGATCCATTGTCACAAAATTGTTATTAAGTTGTTGCAATTATGCTAGCATCAACGTCATCTGGTTCTGGTTTTCATCGAGCCGAGATTCCACATGATTCATCTGTGCTTGGTGATGCTCGAGTCGGTTTTTAACGCGAGTCATTTGTGTCTGATGATCAGCAAGACACCCTTCTACACGTTGCTGAAAGGTGGAAACCTCCTCTGCAAGGTCTTGTACTCGCATTCTGTGATCTGTGGTGTTCATGCGATGAAAGCACCAATTGTTACGAACTTCGGGATCACCACTCCAAAAGTATTCTCAAAGGGTGGGAGTGCCCAAGGCCTTATAAATCTCACATTAGTTGTATAGGCAACCAATGTGGGACTTGTAACATTGTCACCCCCTTTAAGGGCCGACGTCCACGGTGGCTTTCACTCTATTGACACTGACCCGACGATAACGCTTCCCCTTTTGGGACGGCTCCACTCACCTATCAGTATTCGGTGCTCAAGACACCTTAATCCAGCCTATAGGTAGCCCTTTCTGTGGCCTCAACTCTAAATGAAAACACCAATTGTTAAGGACGAACCCCAATGACAAGAAAGGAACAGAAAGAGAAAGAACAATTGAGGAAAAATCTTAGTCAATGCATCTCTTCATTACAATATCAGTTTTTATATTCAGTTATTTAGAGACCTCTACTGCACTTAGCTCTACAAGTGGCTCTGAATAACTAACTACAATCGTTTCTAACAACCTCTTAACTAACTAACACTTAGGCTACATAATCCCAGAGCTTAGTTGAGTGAACCCTCACACGTGTGGAGCTTCTCTTTGTAACATAACCCATAGGATTGCTATACAAATTCCAACAGATGACGCTACGTTGCATTCCTTAGAGGGAGATTCAAATCCTAGAGTGTTGTGGTTCCGTACTAGAATCACGGGCATTGCGATCTCGGTGTTGATAGACTCAGACAGTTCTCACAACTTCATCCAACGTGACTTAGCTGGAAAATTTGGCCTTCATGCAATTTGTATCCCATGTGTGCACGTGTTTCTTGATAACGATGAATTTTTAATATGAAATTGCTGAAATGTTTACATATTGATATGGAGCTAGAAAGTCGTGTTTTCATAGTATATTTGTGTTACTGAACTATCTAACCTTGGCATTATTTTGAACTTTTTATGGTTAGATAAGGTTCTGCACGATTATGTCAACCTTTCGATGGAGTTTACATGGCAGGATGAGTTGATGTATTGCATGGGGAGAAATCACAGATGCCCACAAAGGATAAATAATATTTGTTGTTAGATCCTTAAGATTCTTCTTCTGGTATACCACCAGAAGTAGAATCTCAAAGAGCAAACATGCCCCAACTGATTTGGGAAATTTTAAGGGAGTTTTAACCCATCTTACAAGTCCCTAATAGCTTGCCTTCTTCAAGATATTGTGACCATGCTATTCATGTAGATGAGGATGCTAAGCCTTTTAATGTGCAACCTTACTATTAGCCTACCATTAGAAGATGAGATAGAGAATCAGGTGGCGGACCTTCTGGTAGCAGGTTACATCAATAGAGTCATATCCTATTCTCATCACCAACTTTCCTTATAGAGCATTGAATAGCAACTGGGTGAGGGATATATTCTCTTTTCCCACGATTGATGAATTGCTAGATGAGATAAATGGTGTTATGGTCTTCTTCAAGCTCGACTTAAGAGCTTGCCATTAATATTGTAAATGGGCCAAACGATCTGTCAGGGGAATATAGCTTAACTTGCCTTTGACCTAATTTAACTTGACTCATTTCAAAAATAATACAAACTTGTGCTCATTAAAAGACATTTTTAGAAATCAGGTTAAGGCTTGTTTGAAAAGGCATGACCTCTAATTCTCCATGCTTAGTTTGTATTTTTTAATAAAATATAATAATAATAATAATTATTATTATTATCTTTTCTAACTCTCTTCCGACGAATTTGGTTATTAATTTGATTTTAAGGGAATAAGAAAGGATTATAATAACAACATATGAGCACAATTAATTTTTTGTTGTATATATATATATATATATATATGTATATATATATATATATATATATATATATGAGACATGATCATTTGACATCGATGTCAAACTTTGAAATTTGACACAAAATTCTAAAGTTGATTTCCGCCAATCAATGATTATCATTTATTAGGAATCAAACTTATTAATTAGTTATTAATTCTCAATAAATGATAAACGTTGATTGACGAAAATCAATCGTTAGAATTTAGTGTTAAATTTCAAAGTTTTACACCGATATCAAAGGATCCTGCCCTTATATATATGTATGTGTATATATATATATATATATATATATATATATATATATATATATATATATATCCACTGACACATGTCAAATTTAATTAAATTTTTTGCATCCTTGTCATTATTTTATTTTTGATTTCTGACAATGTAGTTAAATTGTCAATATTTTGGGTTGTAGCTCCGTGAACTTAAACATACCAAAAAATAAAAATTAATCATAACCTATAATTTATAAGAGTGCAATATAACAAGGATGACTACATTTTCTTTATTTTTTTAAAAATTATTATGGTTCTAATAATTGATCATTTGTGGTTATGAATTTTTATTATTATGTATAATTTATTTTCTAGTTTTTTTAGTTGTTATCTTTTTATAAATAATTAAATATTTTTATTTTACAAAATTCCTCTAATTAAATAATATCAACCATGTTCTAAATATAGAGCCTATTTGGATTCTTTTTTTTTTAAATCAGAAGCTACTTATAAGATAAAGGTAAAAAAATGAGAGCTTAAAAAAAGAAACTAAAAGCTGTTTGGTAATTACATAAAATTGTTAGCTTAAAAGTTACTTGAAAACATATATTTTAAGAAAACAATTTCTCTCTATCTCTATAGCTTTTCATTTAAAAAAGAGAGCACATAATTCAATAAAAGAAGATAAGAGCTTTAAAAGAGGAGGAGCTTTTAGCTTTTTTTATTTATTATGAAAAAAAGAATTTCTCGTTATAAGAGCTTTTCTCAAAACCTATTTACCCTAACTTTTGCGTATAAGTAACTTATAACTTAAAAAATAGAGGATCCAAATAGGCACATAATGTGAAAAAAAACACTTTTATATATCTTTTTTGATAATTTTATAAAAAATAATAATTATTATCTAAAAATTTAAATAATTTTTTTCAAAAATTTCATTTCAAATATGCTATACAAATGTAACTTTACCTTTTTCAAGAATAATTATTTAAAAAACAATACATAAGAAAATCCTTTTTATTCATGTGGATTTGAATTAGCAACATAATTTAATTTAGATTTGGTTCAACCGGACCCAATAACGACATTGGCCTGATCACGGACCGGGTCAAAGTGATTGTTTTTCTCCTTCGTACCCATATCACTCCCAATCCTGTCCCTCTGTCACAGCAACAACACCCATTTTGAATCCTCCTCTTCTCTGTGTGGCTTCGCCATGTTCCATTTTCAAGGTCGAACAAGCAAGCATATCCACAATCCCCTTTTGATCATTAGGCAAAAATCCAGTGGAGGAAGAAGGCCGAAGAAGAAGACCTACCATAGGGTTCCCGAACTGGACAGGGTGATGGAGCTTCGCAAGAAGCCATCCATGATCCTCCAACTAAAGTCCATCATCCAATCCCAATCTCACAACTCTCTCCTCCTTCGTGACCTCGAAAAAAACGTTGGCTTTGTCCGCAAATGGGACTTCATGGCTCTCATCCAAAAGTACCCTACTATTTTCCGCGTCAATGGAACACCCCCTTCTGTGTCCCTCACCGACAAGGCCCATAGGGTAGCCCAAGAAGAAGGCCCAGCCAGAACCTTAATGGAGCCCATCTTGGTTAACAACTTGAGGAAGCTGTTGATGCTTTGCGTTGACTGCAGGGTGCCCCTTGAAACCGTTGACTTTGTTGGGCCTGAATTGGGCCTGCCCTTTGATTTTAAGGAATGTTTGATTCCTAAATACCCTCAATTTTTCTCAGTCAGGCATGTCAAGGGAAGGGATTTTCTTCAGTTGGAGGATTGGGATTCTACTTTGGCTGTCACTGCCAGAGAGGCTAGGTACATGTTTTAATTGAATTCCCTTAATATATATATTTTCTTAAAAAAAGTTGATTGATACATGTTTGGATTTGTAGGATCATTTTTTGTCCTTTCTTCTTCTATTTTTTTTAAGTAAATTACCAAATTTTTTTGGATATTCTACGGGTATCATGTCACCTAATTTAATTAAGGGGTAAAATATTGTACCAATTAATTTCACCGTTAGATCAATCATGTTGATCCAACGGTTATATTTATTTTCAACTTTGTATGATTATGATTTCTCATGTTTAATGTTTTCACATTAAATATGAGAAATCATAACCATACAAAGATGGAAATAAATATAAAGTATTAAATATGAGAAATCATAACCATACAAAGATGGAAATAAATATAACCATACGATCAACATAACGATCTAACGGTGAAATTGATTGATAGTAACATTGGTAGTAACACTAGTTGGTTGTTACAATATCCTACCCCTTTAATTAATTTATTAAAAAAAAGGGAAAAGTTCACCAATGCCCCTGTGGTTTGCTTCAGAATCACCTATGCTCCTGTGGTTTTTTTTGTATCACATATGCCCCTGTGCTTTGTAAAAAATAAAAAACCACGGGGGCATATGTGATAAAAGACATACTCTTTTGCAAACCCCAGGGGCATAGGTGATTCTGAAACAAACCATAGGGGCATTGATGAACTTTTCCCTAAAAAAAGAGTAGATTTTATCTGAAATTCAAAATAAATCCGTGTCAGTCTTTTTAAAGGATTAATGTGAATTTTCTTTAAATTTCAAAAGACTACAATTTCAACTAACTATGTCTATTTGAATTTTAAATGGATCCCAAATCGATTTTTTTTTTTTTCAAGAAATTAAAATGGATCCGGTAATTTTGGCTGTGGACCAAAAGTTACTTTATTCTTTTTTTGAAGTTGGTTTAAGTTAGATTTTGATTATAAACTATTTTAAATATAAATTAAGTTGATTCAAGCAAGTACTAGGTTGGCACAGGAAGGAGTCTTGAACATGAAGCCAAATGGGGATCAAAGGAAGGTGAAGATTTCAAGAGATGGGAACTATCTTGGTCCATTTGCGTTCAAAGTAAATTTTCCTGCTGGTTTCAGGCCAAATGTTGGCTTCCTTGAGCAGTTTGAGAGGTGGCAGAAGTTGGAGTTTCCTTCTCCTTATTTGAATGCAAGGAGGTTCGATGCTGCTGATCCGAAAGCCCGAAAACGGGCCGTGGCTGTGATTCATGAGCTCCTTAGCTTGACCATGGAGAAGAGGATGACATCTGCACAGCTGGATGCATTTCATGCTGAGTGCCTTTTGCCGTCTAAGTTGCTGCTTTGCTTGATAAAACATCATGGGATATTTTACCTCACTAATAAAGGTGTAAGGAGTACTGTCTTCCTCAAAGATGCATACCTTGGTTCCAACTTGATAGATAAGTGTCCTCTGTTGCAATTTAATGATAAGTTTGTGGCACTCTGTGGTAGAGGAAATATTGATGTATCTGACAGCAAGAATTCTTTACAGGCTGTTGTTTAGAAGTTGAGTTTGATTTTTCAGTGGTACAGGTTCTGCATATCTTCCTATTTGAGAAAGGATAGGGAAATTTAGCATGGAAATGTATGCAGTAGTAAAGGATATATCATTCCTTGCTTGAAGAAAGACCATGGAAGTACATTCTCGTGATACTTTAACATCAAATCTGTTATCGGAAGTACAAATTAGTAGCTTACAACTAGAAAGACAGTGATCAGAAACAAAAGTCTGACTTCATTAAATTAGATTATTCTAATTGTTCGCGCCTTGCATGCATCAAGATTGAGGTGATGTAGAAAATTTTTGTCGAGTCAAATTCTGATGCTCACGGTAGTCTTGGACTGGAACATTTAGTTGGCAATTTGCAAAGGCAAGCCAATATATATATGCCCTCAAATAATTTAATCACTTCTACTAAGACAGCATGAATTAAAAAATTGACGTTTACGAATCTAATAAAGGAGGCGACAGGGGTTAGGGGTAAGGAGTACTTAGAGTATCACTATCCTTTCAATGCTCTAGTGTGAATTCTTTAATGGTATTTGCCTTAAAATGGAGGTGCTTGAATGGAGACTTTGGCACTAGATGTATCTTATCTTCCTCTTAATGCATTTGTTGCTGAAAAGTGAAGGACTTGTGATCGCTTGAAGAGCAGCCATCAGAGTTTTGGTGCAGTAATTGTTCTAAATGTTTTTCCACTTGTTATATTAAATACTTATCATGCTGACTTGGCCATCAGTTCTGGTGCGGCAATTGTTCTTGAGTAATAATTTCCCCCACTATATGTTTATAAATCATTACCTTGCTGACTTAATATCTGTAAAGCTTACATCTGTCATCAATATTGGAAATATTCCTTTATTAATTTCTAGATATAGATTGAAACTTTATGTTTGCATTAAATGATTAAATTATGAGAGAAGGCAAAGTACTATAGAATGGATTCATGATAGCATTTTTCTCTAATGATTAGTAATTCAGTATGATTTCGAATTTGATTTTCTTCCAGAAAATGTTGGTGCTTGGATGGAGGCTAGGATTGGATGTAAATATTTCATTTTCTGGCCTCCTATTTAACAAATTCTAGATGCATATGACTTCTAACGGAAGTACTCATAGGAAACCAGCTATAAGGGTGTGTGTACTATAGGAAAAGGTGCAGAGAGTCATTCTATAATGCTGAGTTAGCAAGGTTGTTAGAAAATAATATTATGCAAGGTGTAAAGGAGGATTCTTTTAGCAATGTGGAACAACAACTTCCTGCATGAAGTGGGAATAAATAGAGAAAGGAGGGGCCAATGAAAACTAGGCTGGGATTAGGACTGTATCCAGGAAAAATTAGAGCTTCTCTAATTGCTCTGATGATTATTTTTCTTTTCTGCAATAGTTCTTCTGAATCTTTTCTATTTTCCATATTGTAGCAACTGTACTGTCTTCTTAATATCACACTGATAGATCTCAAAAGAATTAATACAGATACTCAGTTCTGTCTTTTCGTCCATTTTGTAAAGAACCTTGTAAAGAATTATAGCATAACAATGTAACAATGCATTGAATCTCTACCTAATTAAACAAAACTATTGTTGTCGTATACTACTTTGCAATGTGGCTATGTACATGGAGGTCAATGCTGAGCAAGAATCATATGGTTGTAAAACACACTCTGTCCTGCTTGGAGTTGATGCTGAGGATCCGACCCAGCTGCTTTAACAATGGTGAGAAACTATACCTGGGACTTGATTATCTGATATGAATTGATTTTTAAAAAGAATGCATGAACAAGCCAGATGAAATAACAATCTTATATTTGTTTTTTTGTGTGTATATATGTATCTGTTTGAAGTTGGTTAAAACTATTTACTGTAGGAATTTGTTAGAAACCATTATTGTCAGTGGCATGAATGTCCAACTTATTGGTTGGAATACTAAAACCAAAGTAATGGACTAACGTCACAAAGCGGAAAACATGATTGACAGAGGGAATAAACCAGTAAACATGATTGCATTTAGGCAAATACAGCAGAGTCAGTGAGGTCTATCCATTTAATGTATGAAGTTGAAATAATTAAATTGATGTGGTGGAAGTAACTGTTTAGAGTAAAGCTAATATGTTATAGTTATTATACCTGAGTTTTGTTTTTTAATGATAAGACCGCACAAGTAAATTCAGCTCACATGGTGCTCAATTTGCCAATTGAGCCACACCTCGTGGTTTCTCTAACTGATAGATTTAGTGCATTGCTAACTGATCAGGACATGTGAGAAAAATAGTTTAAACAACATATTTGATGCTTTTGAAAAAGATGATAAATTTTTCTTATTACTTCATTTATTCATTCTAAAAATGCCATGTTAGTGCAATTTCCAAAAATATAATATGGAAAGATGTCTTTCAAACATCTGATACCCTATGTCAACATATGCAGAGTATATCTTGGAATGGAATGGAGCTGCTGCTGAATGAAGCAATTATTCTGCAGTCAATGTCTCTGCAAGACTAATTTTAGTTGCATGATGTGAGAGCGAGTCGGTTTTAACACATAAAAGGGGGAACCAATTTGCTTGAAAGGGAATTTCAACTGTTCTTGTATTTGCTGATGAGAGTAAATAAGGTGATGCTCTATGGACAGCAAAAGAATACCTTCCTTCTGCAGCTGTGTTGCCATGAGGCTTGTTCCACTTCATATCTAGGGTCTATCATTTTAGAAGGAGATGCTGGGTTAGTAATTCATACACTGAAAAACTGGTTACTGAACCTAATTCCTATTTGGAAGATTACATCCTACGTGTAGATTTAAGATCTTTGTCTTGCATTACCAATTGGACAGTTAACAAATTCCAAGGCCTCCTAAGTTTATAGCTCATAATGGTTGTAATTTTGGGCCTATTCCCATCTCTCGCACATTATCTAAATTGTTAACAAATGAACTTTAGTCTTATTCTAGACCGGGGGGAGATGCCCTTGCCCAGCTAGCCCAAATGCCTACTAGACAAGGCCACATAACATGTGGAGCGTGTGACTCCCCAGTACACATGTCCCTCTCATAATTTTCACTTATGTATGACCTTTTTGATGTTAGGGGTCATGTTGTCTCACACCATAGTGGAGCCACAGGGCTGAAAAGGTTGTGGCATCACACTTCTCATGCTAAAAGGGAGTTTCTCTCATCTTATAAATAGAGGGCATTACCTCACTAAAAGGATACTCTTTACCATCATCTAAACATGTTGTTACTCTTTGAAACTCTACCTCATTCATAATCGAGCCTAATATACTGTTGAGGATGTAAAGTGAAAGGAAAGAACAATACGAGAACAAATTGTATTATCAAAATCAGTCAGTTTTTACACAGATAGTAAGAGGCTTTTATATACCCTAATCAACCAATTACAACTAACTCCTAATACACAACAACTAACTAACTAACTCCCAACACGTGGCATTAACTGTTGAATGGTCTTCCTCTGATTCACATTACACAAAGTCACGAAGCCATGTAGGAGTCTTCCTCTGCCTCGATGGTATTGATTTCTCAGCTACTACTGTTTCTGCTTCCTTTGCCTTAACATCTGCCCCATCATCCAAAGGGACCTTGTCCTCATGGTCTAAATCGGGATAAACAACGTCAAGTTCTGAAGCTGGTTCCCAAGAAGCATCTTCAGGAAGCGAATAAGACCATTGGACCAAAAATTCCTTACGAGGCTGTTCACCCATCGTACGAATCCTAGACATTAGCAAGGCAATTGGTTGCTGAACTGGATGATTATCAACACTAGCTTCTGGAAGAGAAGGGAGATGAGGTGGAGGTTGACCAGCAAAAGCTTTCAGAACTGAAACATGAAATATTGGGTGTATACGAGAGTTTTCTGGCAGTGCTACTTGATAGGCTACAGGGCTAATGTCACATTTATAGGAAAGGGACCAAAATATCGTTTGGAAAGCTTGTGACTTCCACAACGAGCAACAGAAATTTGTCTGGATGGTTGCAACTTCACTAAAACTAAATCACCCTCCTCAAATATGCGTTCATGACGGTGTTTATCAGTGTTCACCTTCATACGGTTCCTGGCTTGGTCCAAATTCCTTTTAAGACTAGCAAGCAGTTCATCACAATGCCTCAAATTGAAATCAACAGCTTCCCCCAAAACTTCAGCAGGCAAGTAAGAGGGAATCATGGTGGGAACCTTACCAAATAAGGCTTGATAAGGAGACATTTTGATAGAAGAATGCACAGCTGTGTTATAGTGCAGCTCTGCCCATCACAAATAGGTAGACCACTGGTTGTTTTGTTCACTGCAAAAGGCTCGTAGATATTGTTCCAGATACCGGTTAGTTACCTCCGATTGTCCATCGATTTGAGGATGATACGAGGAGCTAGTCTTCAAGGTAGTTCCACTGAGTCGAAACAAATGAACCCAAAACTTGCTAAGAAAAATACTGTCTCTATCAGAAATGATTGTTTTTGGAAAGCCATGATGCTTAACAACCATTGTGCAGAATAATTGAGCAACCATAGGAGCATTATACGAAGATGGGAGACCTCCAAAGTGAGCATGCTTAGTAAAACGATCGACAACAACTAAAATGGTGGACAAACCTTTAGATAGAGGTAATCTAGTGATGAAGTCTATTGCGAGATCTTCATAGGCTCCATCGGGTACTGGAAGAGGTTGCAACAACCCTTAAGATGGAATGGTACATGGTTTCACTTGCTGACAGATGATACAATCACGCACAAAGGCCTTGACATCACTACACATGGTTTTCCAATAGAAGGATGCTGAAAGGCGTAAGAATGTGCGTAATGCTCTAGCATAGCTCCAATTTGAGGGAAGAGTGTGGTCCCAATAAGAAACGACGGTGATGGAAAAGGATACCATCCTTGAGAGGGATAGCAGGGTCAGCATAATTTCGAACAGAGAGCTGTTGGTGAATGGCCAAAAGCCTCTGATCAGTGGCATTCTCCTCACGAATGCGTTGCAATATATCAAATGTAGGAGAAGATATCAATGCAAGTAGACTAGGGGTGTTCGCGGTCTGGATTGGATCGGTTTTAGAAGCAAAAATCATCCGATCCAATTCTTTCAGTTTGATCATATAATCATCCATTCAGTTTTTATTTTTTTTCAAATCCGATCCGATCCAATCCAATTTTTTTCAGTTTGGATTGGATCGGTTTTCGGTTTTTTGAAAATCCTAAAATTTATTTCATGATTGTTGTGCAAATAACATCTTTTGTATATATTGGCTTTGTAAATTTTTTTTTTGAAATACAAAAGCATTAGTAAACTATAATATAGTTTTTTTTATTTTTGGCAATGAGATATGAAGCTCTACAAAGATAAAATTTTGTTGATGAGATGTGACTAGATTTATTCTTAGGTTTAGTTGATGGGTTAATGAGTTTTGGGTTTAGAAATTTTTAGACTATGATTAGGGAAAGAACCAAGTAGAGGGAAATTAATATATTTGATCGGTTTTCATCAACCCATCCAAAAATCGATCAAATCCAATTAAAATTTGCGATTTTTAATCGATTTTTGATTTTTCGATTTTCGGCTTATTCGGTTATCGATTTTTCGGTTCGGTCACCGCGGTTTGAATCGGTTTGGATCGGTTGTTGAACACCCCTAAAGTAGACCAGCAACCTCAGTGTCTTTAAATTGTCTGGATAAGGCTTCAGCAACAATATTACTGTTTCCAGACTTAAATTCAATTGAGAAACTGTAACCAAGTAATTTGCAGACATAACGTTGTTGCTCAGGTGTTTGGATAACCTGAGAGAGTAATTCCTTGATGCTACGATGATCAGTTCTAATAACAAAGTGACTCCCAAGTAGATACTGTCTCCAACGCTTAACTGCCTCAGTTATGGAAAATAGTTCTCTCACGTAGGCCGAGGCTACACTCATTCGAGGACCAAGCTTTTTAGTAAAGAAAGCAAGGGGTTTATCACCTTGAAGCAGAACTGCTCCCACACCAGTCATAGATGCATTCGTTTCCACAATAAAATGAGCAGATAAATCAGGTAAAGCCAATGCAGGTATGTCAGCCATGGCTTGTTTGAGAGCAATGAAGGCATTGGTAGCATTAGAAGACCATGAAAACTGATCAGTTTTCAAAAGGTCAGTTAATGGTGCTGCAATCGAAGCATAGTGATGTACAAAACATCTTGAGTAACCTGTTAAGCCAAGGAAGCTTCTAAGTTGCTTCACTGTTGAGGGAATTGGCCATTCAAGCATTGTAGAAATTTTTTTAGGATCTGCTCGAACTCCAGTAGCAGAAACCATATGGCCCAAATAGTCAATCTCTTGTGCCCTAAAGCTGCATTTACTCAACTTGACATATAACTGATTTTGCTGCAATAAGACAAGAACAACATGTAAGTGAGTCAAATGATCTAAGAAGGAAGCACTGTATACCAGTATGTCATCGAAAAAAACAATGACAAATTTGCGAAGATAAGTCTTTAATAGCTGGTTCATCATGACTTGAAAGGTTGATGGAGCGTTGGTCAATCTGAAGGGAATCACCAAGAATTCATAGTGACCCTCGTGAGTGCGAAAAGCTGTCTTGTGAACATCCTCTAGTCTCACTCTTATTTGATGATAGCCTGCTCGAAGATCAAGTTTGGAATAAAAGACAGCCCCCAACAATTCATCAAGAAGTTCATCAATGGTGGGGATGGGAAATCGATCTTTAATAGTGATGGCATTTAGTGCTCTATGGTCAATACACATGCGCCATGTTTTGTCATGTTTTCTTACCAAGAGAATTGGTGAAGAATTTGGACTGTGGCTAGGCTGAATGAAACCATTAGAAAGGAGATCATGGACCTGTTTCTCAATTTCCTCCTTTTGATGGTATGGATATCTATAAGGCTAAACGTTTACTGGTTTAGAACCTTGTTCAAGGTGTATGGAATGATCATAATTACGGAACAGTGGCAGTGTTTGTGGAACTGCAAAAACAGATTGAAATTGAAGTAGAACATCCCATAATTCTGGAGCAAGCCTTGGCTGTAAGTCAGCTAATTCAGAGCTGGTAGATTCTAAACCAGGTAATGTGAAGCAATAGGTGATGAGGGGTGGTTGTTCCATTGTAGGAGTAGCTCCTTTAAGCACCACTAACTCATTGTTGTACATAAATTCCATGGACATGGATTGATAATCATGTGTGACCTTACCAAGTTTGCTTAGCCACTCAATGCCCAATATCACATCAAAATTTGGTATATCCAAGACCCACAGATCTACCACAATTGAATGTCCCTGTAATTGCAAAGGTACACTGGTACACTTCTTATCACAAATCAAAAAATCACCATTGCTGAGAAAGACTCTCATTTTTTTCATTTTTATCAAATTTAAACCCAACAGAGATGCTATATCATAGTGCACAAAGTTTTGAGTGCTACCAGAGTCAACCAACACTCTAACCATATGATTAACAAGTAAGGCGGGAAAAGAGATCGAACGGGGGTTGATGTCACCTGATAAGGCATGAAGAGCTGCATTAACCTGCGGTGGTTGACTTGGATCAATTTGCCATAGTATCTGCTCATCCTCCTCTTCTGGTTGGTCAGAGGGGTCCCCAATCATGAGAAGAACTTGCACTTTGCATCGATGACTTTTTGACCATCTCTCATCACAATGATAACAAAGATTCAAATCACGACGACGTCGAAGTTCGTCATTAGATAATTTTCTTATGGGTAATGAAGGTGCTGGGGATGTTAATTTTGTTGGTATGGGTGTAGACAGAACTGAATTGTTAGTGGTGGAAGATGTGGTGGATGTAATTGGGGTTTGGTTGTTGGTAAAAGAGGACTTGGTGGTATTCTGGTATTGGGAAGAAGATGAAAATGATTTCTTTGAATTGGTAGAGAAGGAAG